CTAGAGCTGCAACAATAAATCGCTAAATCAATCGCTAAGAAAATCAATAACTCAATATTTTGAGATTAATCATAACATAATGAGTCGGTAATTTCTCAACCAGAAGGTCGGGGTTTGATCCCCAGCTCCTTAAGCCACATGTCATCCAATGTAAATGTTAAATGGACTTGAGCTTGTAAACGCTTTTCTAGTCTTCTGACTACTCAAAGCACTTTTACACCGCAGGTCACACCTACACATTCACACACTGATGATAGAGGCTGCTATTCAAAGTGTCCACCAGAAGTAATGAATCCCATTCATACACATTCTTACGCCACCGGAGCAGCGGGAGCAACTTGGGGTGAAGTGTCTTGTCCACGGACACATCAACATGTTAGGACATGACGACTCTACCAACTGAGCCACCACCCCAATGTGTCCACGGGCAAGACACTTAACCCCAAGTTGCTCCCGCTGCTTCGTCAGCAGCGTATCAATGTAAACGAATGGAATTCTGGTGGTCCCTTTACATCGCAGCCTCTGCCATCAGTGTGTGAATGTGTAGGTGTGAGCTGCAGTGTAAAAGTGCTTTGAGTAGTCAGAAGACTAAAAAAGTTCTACAGAAGCTCAAGTCCATTTACCATTTACCATGTGATAATACAAGCTAAAATGTCAGATATTTGTCTTTTTAGTTTCCTGAGGTCAAAAAGCTCCAGGAAAACTTGTAGTATGAAGATCAGTTTCATCACTCTCACTCTTCATGCACCTTGGCATCCCACTCTCCTTTTCAATTTCCTGACTGTATAGTTGCTGATTTTTATCCTGCTTTGAAATATATCATCTTTTTAGCTGACTGAAGACTGCACTCGCTCTAGACAATTCTGGTGATAATTTTTTTAAACTTCAAAATAGATGGTAATTTCATTGTGACTACAATATGAGCAATTTCAATTAATAAAAAAAACAGGCAATGCTTTCTCACTATGTTCCTGTAGGATGAAAGTCTGGATGTACTGGTCATCATGCCTTCACACCATTTATGATGCTGTCATAATGATGTGAGGTCATGGGCCCCTTCACCGCATACAAGAAGCACTAGCTATCTATCGGCTAGGCTAAGATTAGTTGGTGCTAATAAAACGGTTAAAAACATATAATGTGTAAAACATGAACAAGAGCAGATGCACATAGAAACACAAGTTATAGCTACGTTTATTTATGTAATGAATATAGCTGTAGTAATGTAGAAACCATGTAATTGCCCATTGCATACTTTTCTCATATTGTGCCGACCTATTCAAAATTTCCAACATCAAAAATCGTTAGTTGCAGTTCTACACCAGACATAAGCCTTGTAATTCTTCATGAAGTGTTTCACCTTTTGCATTTGAGTTGCTCTGCATGTTTATGAAGAAAAATAATGCACTATCTCTATCACTGAATGAAACCCCTGAGCATTAGTAAAAACATCACAAATGTTAATGAAGAAGAATAGTATGTGCAGTCTGTGTACACACCTGGACTGGGGTCTTTGGTGTTCCAGATGTCCATACCCGTACTGATACTGCTGACTGTTGTAAGGATGCTGCTCCGGCCTGGCAGGAGGGCTGCTGTAGTGACTCCTGTAGTGAGCATCAGAATGAGCCCAGTTCCTGTCCCTCTCCCTGGGGTCCTGTGGTGGGTGACCCTGGTTTCCGTCCTGCTGAGAGTACCTGTAGTAGTCCTCTCTGTCTTTCGTTCTGTGGGAGTTCCGTGCAGAGTCGGGCCGGGGTTGACCTCTCGGATCCATGATGACGACCCCTTGAAATAACAGGAAGTCTAGTTTGCGATTCTGAGAGGTGAAAACGGAGATTTTTGATTAGGTGCTAGCAGCTCACAAATGCCTCACACACAGTCAAAGTACGTTGAAAGCTGCCACATCATTTCTCAGGGAGCTCACGTGCTGATAACAAGTTCGCATGATAACAAGAGGATAAAGTTCACAAACACTGACCCACACAGGCTACATGAACCATAACAAGGAAGTTAGTGCACAGGAAACACTTCCAGAGTAGTTTAAATCATCCATAGGAAAGGCAAAAACATACCAAAGCATTCATGAAAACTAAATAAATCCTACTTCCAGCTTATAAATGTGTATAATCCTTCATCTCCGTTTTATTTGCATTGTGTGAGCAGCCTGTGTGTTCTCAGTCAGCTGAAGGTAAACAGTGGAGCACGCCCTGAGGAGTTTGACAGCTGCTGTCCCGCAAGGCTGGAAAACACCAAATCACGTCCAGGTCCATCCTGATTAGAATAAATAAGACATCGCGAGTCTTTTCTGTGTCACTCTGGTGTGAATAACCTGGTCGTCGGGGTTTCATTCACATGCTGAAGGAACAGGTACAACTTTCAAGTGTGTAGACTTGCCACGTTGCCGGTAGGGAAGATGCAGCCAGGAGGACCGTCACACTGGGTTACCGAGGAGTCGAGTCAAGCTGGTCTCAGGTCAGTTTTTGTGATTTTTACGGACGCAGAGTGAAACGGGAACCGATCCCGAGTCAGAGGAAACAACTCAGAGGCTTGTTGTAAAAGCCGCAAGTTCTTTTGCATTCCCACTAGAGGCGCTCAGGCGCATTATTATAAATGAAAACTCTTGCTGGCTGAATCTCAGCTTATTTCTTTCTTACAGTCGCCTACATCCGTCCTGTGTTCAGTGACTCTTTGTCCCCCTCCTTTCCTGTCTGCATTGAAATAAATGATCGACTCGGACTTTAGAGTTGACAAATAAGATGTCTCCTTTGAATATGATGTTTAATTTAAGTGTCTATCGCTCTTTACATATACAGTAGTCTCTACAATAAACGTTTCCTCTTATTGTCTCAGTAGCCTATAACTACATTAAATTAGGTAAGTATTCTTTTATGCACCTAACAATGTGGTTTCTTGATTCCTTCCGCTGTTTTGCACTATTGTGGGAGCCATAATATGTAGCCTATTATACCTTGTTGATTTTTCGCTCCTTATATGGGTTTATAATTTCCGGTAATTTGCAGTGGGCGTGGTTTTACCTAATTTGACCTGTTCAGTTTTATGGCGGGAGAATAGATGCGGAGGGGGAGTGGGTTTGAATAGCTTATCTTCTGTTCACCGTTATTAATATCAGTCATCGTAATAATCATCATCTTTTGGACTTTTGTTGATCATTACGTTTCACAATTTTGTTTAATAAATCAAATGAACTTGTGATGAAACAATGAAACAATGAAATTGTTTTAACTACACGTTTTTCTATTGTTGTGAATTAGTCTCTACTTCTAAATTATTTTTTATTTCTACCCTGTTCTGTCACTATTTTATTGTATTTATTTCTCGTTTTTCAGTCACTGTAAAGCACTTTGAATTAGGCCTACATTTGATTTGTATGAAAGGTGCTTTATAAATAAAGATTGATTGATTGATGAACTCATCTGGACCTTGATTTGATTTGTGAAATGGATCCCATGGTATAGACCCACTTAGACCCTAAAACCCTTTTCAGTATACGGAAATCTCTGTGTGGCATTCTTCAGTCTAAGCTGCCACAATAGACATTTTGACTGTAATAAGAATAGCAATAGATAGAACGTTTATATAAGAGGAGTGTAGCTACTATTATAAAGTCTACACACTTATATGAAAAGTCTCAGAAGAAGGAAATTTAACATTTGGCTTCAAATCATGCCAAGTGTGTAAGAAACAAACCATTGCATTATTATAACATGCCTGGCTTTTCAGACTCTTTTTCTTTTGCAGTCTTTTTCTGGTATACTGATGAAAATATATCTAGTATCCTTCTCGTTTTTAAAAAGATCTAAGTAAGTACAGGATACTTGAAGTACAATAACTGTGATGCAGTTTAAGACATAACAATGTTGTTAATACACACAATACAGATCGTCATGAGGTGTTTGAAGAGACAATGTAAAGGACAAGACTTCAAACATAAAGTGATAGCAGACATCTGATGATCTGAGTTCTTGTGTTTCATATACCTCATTATAATTTTGTTTAATTGAGATCTGAATGCTTTAAACTTTGACAATTATGTTCCTTGATGATTTGGGAAGTACCAGTATGACTACCTTCTTTAATTCATAGTTTTCATAGTTTCAATAGTTTAGTGTTAGGCACAGATAGCCTACAATATGGAAAAACCGAAAACAGACAGCAAACCAAGTATCACAGTGTTTATAGTGGATGCTAATTTGCAACAGCTATCCCGAGAAGAGCTTTTGTGTTAATAAAACAGATAAGTTGAAAAGGAAACGTAAGGCTAAAGTGGGTACAGCGAGATCCACTGATACACACATTTAACATCGACATATCAAATTAGAAACAGATACAAGATAGACAGGATTTAGTGGCTCTCTTTAGAGTGGTGAAGTTTGTAACACGTTTCAAGTGATCCTGTAGCGAGTTCCAGGATATTGTTCTTTTCACATAAATATACAGCTGTTGTGTCCACCTCTGCCCAGGTGAAGCTACAGATTTCTCAATAAGGTGCACCTGGCCCAGTGCTGACTTCAGGAGGACAGTGTCTATTGGATTTGGGACTGCTCAGTCAGGGAATGTGGGCTGTTGTGTTTTGTTAACTTAGTTTTCAAGTTGATCTTAGTTTAATGATTTAGTTGTCTGTAAATAATAAATCTCTTGGTTTTAACCAACTTGGTTCCCTTGGGTTGTTGTTAGCCTCTATATGGTAGGACTATGCCTTATAGGCGAGCGTAACACATCATAATAATAAAATCAAACAATCAATGCATCACTTTATTATATCGTCTAATTGTATCATTGGCAGTCTGACGCTGCTAAAATCCCCCCTTAATATTTTACGTCTAGTCTAATTCAAAACTCAGGTGCAGTTTTTGCTACAACCACTGGGTGTCGCTATTTCCCTAAGGACAAGTTGAAAATGAAATGCGTCGCTCCTCGTGACCAGAGGGGGGGCCGGTTTTATGTAAATGAGCGGAGAGGTGCAAAGGGCTTTACTACTGGAAACGTTAGACTGACGGAGCAGAATAACACAGAGACTCTGAGCACACAGAAGCACTCACACTGCGCGCTGGATATTACTGAACAGCAAAGCCGCTCGGATGTGCAATATGACTTTTGAAGAAACCGGTGGAGAGAATTCTTCAGAAAGGTAAGCTCACCTCACAGTGTTTATATTATTTTTATGCATCTTTTTTTCTTTTTCTTTTTTTTTTGACTTCGCATTCCGTGTACACTTTAAAGCGAAACAGCTGACATCGTTTTTAAACCTTGTCCCGGGGCGGCTCATTGTCAACCTTGGGACAGCTAGAGAACTAGTGCAAATCAAAGTAGACACAGTTATTCCGGTTTTGATTCAACAGAGGTTTATCTGACAATGTCAGCTCTTACTGTCATTAGGTGACATTTGGTCTCGTAACTTCAGACTGTAACATCAGCTGACGTCAAGTCGCTCTGCTAATCTTTAGTTATACAAGCTTGGTATTTTGCTGAGAATGTGCTTTTTCAGTGTCAAGCCTATGTGTGTGATTACCTGATGTGTTCATTGTCACTTTTTGGTTCGTACACGTTGCATTTTGTGCATCAGTCCTGCAATGTTGCATCATTTGCCATCCCTATTATAATCCATAGTATGACTTAGATAGGTAGAAAATCAGAAATGCAAATCAGTCCTTGCGATTGCAGCTTTTTTGTGAACTTATATTTGAACAAATATGTTTTCATTTGTCCTCCCTCAGGATGGAATCGGTGGCTAAAGCATTAGAGGAGGTCCTGAGCTCTGCATTGCCTCAGGGTTGCATCACTGTTGGAGTTTATGAGGCAGCAAAGTCTCTAAATGCGTAAGTTACTACCAAGAGAAGCACTGTAGCATCAGTTAGTGCCAGTTATCCATCAATATACAAGAGCCATTGTCCTTTTCCTTCATGTACGTCGCTTTCTTGTTGTGCCTTTTAGAGATCCAGACAATGTGGTGTTGTGTCTGCTGGCCACAGATGACGAAGAGGATGTGGCTCTCCAGATTCACTTCACCTTGATCCAGGCTTTCTGCTGCGAGAACGACATCAACATCCTGCGAGTGAGCAATATGAGGCGTTTGTCAGAAATACTGGGAGGAGTGAAACCTGGAGGGGAGCCCATGGATCTACACTGTGTTCTAGTGACGGTAAGAAGTTACTCATGTCTGCTTACTACAGAAGCGCTGTGTATTGCTCACTTCCCTTCAGACTGTAAGGGGAGTTGTCTTGCAATCACTGAGCACTGTTTGGTATGAAGGCCATTGTTTGCTCTTGCAAGAAAATGTTTTCAGCTTGATTGCACTTTTCAGTAAGCTGCAGATTGTAACTGCCTTGTTCCTTTTTTTCTGCAGAATCCTCAGTCATCCCTTTTGAAGGACCCTGCACTAAGCAAACTGAACCGATTCTGCAGAGACAGCCGCTGTCTGGATCAGTGGGTGCCTGTTATCAACCTGCCAGACCGATGAAACTACTTGGAATATAATATTTTGTGTGCATTTGGTGAAAAGTAATTGCACAAGGCCTGTCTTAATGTCTGTGTTGGACTTCTCTGGAAAGTACCTCAGAGAGAGTAAGAGATGGGAGGGGCAGGGAAAAAAAAAGAACACGAGGAGGAAAAATGCTCCAACATTTTACCAGGTCAGGGTGAACTCATGGGCCAAGGAGGAGTGACTCAGCAGTCTGGGTTCCAGGATTTCCAGCTTATGACTGCGCCTTTCTCTGCCGGGAAAGAAGCCTTCACAGGAAACTGAATCATGTGAGCGGACAAGTTCACGCGGCAGGAGCACAAGTGCAGGACTTGGGAGGGGGAAAAAAGCACACAGAGAGCTTACCGTTGACAAGACTCCCAGAACTGGACCATGCTGGAACGGACCAGAGCTCTCAGCTTGAAGAATTCCTCATGGAGATTAGTCCAAATCCAAGCATTTCTGTAACGGCACATTTGTTTGATAGTATTTAAGACTTGTCACCTTGATAACTCAAAAGGGAAACTTTTCACAGTTTATTATTATTATTATTATTATTATTTTAAGGGCAATGCAATTGTTAAGACTTGTCCATTAACTAATGTTTTTATGTGTCATTAATTTAACAAATTATATTTATTGTGCATCGTTCATGAAATTCTGCCTTGTTAAGATGAATGAAATAAATGAACAAGGAACAAATCTCAGTGGTTTTGCCTCCATCATTTCCAGGAACTGCAAGTTAAGAATCCTTGCAGGAAGTCACACTGTGTCGTGATGTAACCAACAGTTTATGCTTCTTACTCTCACAGCGTGCACAGCATATGTTGCCCTGCAGGGTTTTGAATATGTCCTGGCATGACACAGTTGCAGTTTCTACTCAACACATTTCTAACCTTCAGTGCAGCCAGCAACTCTCCTTTGGAAAATAATGTTTGGGTTTTTAGGCAGTTCTGAGTCAAATTTTCAGATTTCAAATTCACCAAGCAGTAATGAAATTGTTCTTTACGGCTTTAAAAGCTGCTGCTTTTTCTTGAAATCAGCTTTATTCCTGCATTAGAACTCTAGTAGAGTTTGACCTTTTGCACATTTTTAGGGATCTAGTTACACTGAAGGGAGGAGAATTCCCATTGTAGTGTGAAATGTTAAGGGGGAAGTGACTCCTCATGACAGCTCATTCTTCACAGCCTCCTCTGTCTACGTAATCAGGGCTAAATTTACTGCTGAGTGGATTAAAAATAGCTCACAGGCAAGACAAGGGTGGAATTAAGTGAAGTCCCATTCCAGGCGGTGCAAAAAGAGAAACCCAGAAATTATTGGTGCTTGCGCAGAATGGGGAGGGACAAAGCCTTTTTACACAGAGGGTCACAAGACAATGGGTGAATGAGTCAGTGCTATTCAGGCCTCCACTGCTAGAGCTGTACAGCACTTTAGCTTTGTGGCCAAAAATAGCTCTGTGAATAGAGGCGTCCCCCTCTCCTGACCATTGACATTAATAGCACTTGTAATTAACAGGCAGCATACACAGAGAGGGCTGAACTACTGCAGAAGTGTCAGTGATATTAAGTGAACAACAATCCTCACAGGTAGGGGGAAGCAAATGAGGTCTAAATGTGGGACTGACTGGTAGACTGGAAAGGAGTTCAGGGTGTGATGGTTTGGTGGGAGGGTCTAGGTTCTTCTAAATTCAGAGGGTACAGTTTGCACATCTGATCAGATGTGCAGAGAGATTAAACATTTTGCATTCAACTCCTGATTCTTCAGACTTTCTGACCACATGTGGAATTTGATCTCTTGATGCTGAAAAGGCATTTGATAGACTTGAATGGGACTACCTCTGGACAGTGGCCATTATGGAGGTTGTTGGGGCCCGAGGCATGAATTCACAGGAGGACCCTTTGAGCAGCGTTCATCCTCATTATGTTATAAATAATCTGACACCATCTAAAACATTAGCAGACGTTTTGTCATTAAGTGTCTCTCCCCATATTTAGGCCGAGCATCATTCATTCGTTTACTATTCTTTGAGTGAGCGCTCTCAGATGGGGCCCCCTCAGGGAGGTTTCCTACTGTCATTACAAATGTTGCATGTTTTGAGCCACTGCTGTGGTTTAAAGTTTATCAGCCCTAGGGGGCCCCTAACTGGCCCAAGCAGTTGCCTGCCTTGAGTGTTAACATGCAGCGCCTCTGCCTCTGGACCCTATTAGATCATATGGGTCTTGGCAAACAATTTATCAAATAAATTTAGGGTTGTGGACAGGGTTTCCCGCTGTCTTCCCTATTTGTTTTCCCTTGAACCACTTGCACAAAAAGAACGTCAACCCATCAATATCATTCGTAAACTCCACCCTCCACCATATATCTCTTTATGCAGACGATGTACTTATTTTCATTAGTAAGCTTTCTCAATCACTTTCTCATATCCTCAAGCTGTTTTCAGATTTTAATATTATCTCAGGACACGAAACAAACTGGCAAAAATCTGCTCTTCTACTCATAAGTAGACGATTTAAAACCTATTTTAATATCCTAAATGTTAATCAATTTAAACATTTGAGAGTTGACATTTTTCCAACTTTAGAAATTACAATCAATCAAAATGACACTTACAAGACCTATACCCTTTAATGCCAGAATCTCAATTATAAAAATGATGGTATCACCTCAAATTAACTTTCTTACTTCTATACTTCCTCTGAATCCACAAATTGGATAGTTGGACAAATAATACAGTTTAATTACTGGTTTCATTTGGAATAGTAAATGATCAAGGATTAATCTTACCACTCTTTAGAAGTTAGAAAGAACAATCAGCAGGAGGATGGGGGTCCCTGATTTTAAAGTGTATTGCTGTGGTCTTTCATTCTGCACATTTTAAAATCTTGGCTTGACCCAACAAATATCACATCTTGGCGCTCTGTAGAAGATAATTTGATATTTCCACATAGACTACAAGACTTCATTTATGCAGAAGTTCCCCTTAAACAAGCTAAAATGCACTTTGGTCCTATCTTTTCAAATGTTTAGACTACAAGGAAACTAGCGACAAACCACATTCAATTTAAACTTGCAGATTTGCACTGGACTGAAGCCCTACTCACTGTCACCTCAGTATTGTAATGAACACTCCAGTTTCCCTTTTTCATTGACACTTAGATTTTACTTCTATTTTTTAAGTTACAAATCAAGGGCAAATGCCACTTCTAGATGCAAAAAGTCACCAGAGGAGCTTGAGTCTAAAATGACACCAGAACCCTTTTGATCATTAGAGGATAAAACCAGCTTGTTGTCTTCAACCAGAGCCCTGCTGTCACACGGGTGGGGCATTCAAAAGTAGGTGAGATATTGCAGATACTGGATCATCGGCTTATCCTGAAGCTTCTCCTTCGCATAGACAGGTTATACAATCGCTGCTATCCATCATCCGACTGGAGTTGAGGGTTACATCAATGTGGGCCAACAACAAATATGGCGTGACCTGGTTGTGTTTGAAACCTCACACCTGAGGAGACTGAGAAAGAGGAGAAAGGGCCGCTCCAAACAGCGGAGATTATTGCATAACAGGGCTGGGCACGGCCCGGGGGCACATATGAACCTTTACTGGGAAACTGGAGCAAACAAGAATGTTTATGTTCTCCTGACCTGATGCTCAGTAATTAGTTTTAACATAGTGACCTGTGATTCCAGCTAAGGTTGGTTATCCACTTGTTAGTAATGAGTAATGAGTGCAAAATAGGTCGGAGTACATTTGGCTGAATAGATATGTCTTCTGTGGTTTTCCCCCACAAAAGGTCAAACGCACCAGCAGAAGCTTCTCAACAAAACATTTTAATAGGTTCATATAAAATAAAACAACTAAGTTATTACATTATCAATTATTAGCTGCCATCATCTAGTATTAGATTTTATTTTCTAATCCAAACACAAGGTTTTATCAGCTTGTGAAAAACACAATTAATCCAAACAACAGACGGTTTTAATTCACATTTTTTTAAATTAAAGTCTTAAAACTGAAATACAACCCAATCAGTGTAATCCTATAAAGTACATTAAGCAGAGGAAACAAGCACAGGATGTGTTTAATGGATGTACACTACTAAATTATTTTATTTGGATATTTTTATTCATTAACAAAGATCCAATTGTTAAAATGATGTCACACACACAGTTAAAAGCCTAAGGTTAGCTACACACCCTCACATAGAGGGGTTCATAGATTCACAGTATTAGTAATCAAACAGCACTTATGTGACTAAAAGGAAAGTGGAGAGATTGAAGCTCCATCCCTTCATCGTTAAGGCTCCTGCTGGTTAAAATCACAAAATAAGCTGAGCAACACAGGAATGACGTCCCATCTACACACCAACAGGTACACACTTCATATAGAAACTTAAAGTATGTTTAGGTGTAGCTGAAAACATGTAAGGTTTATAACTCCAGAGAGTCACAGTCACTTTGTGTGAAGAGCAAATAAAAAAAGAAAAGAAAAAGGAAGCAAAAAGAATGTTACAACATTTTGTACATTGAAAATGGAACTATGACTTTAAATACATGGATCTGATAAAATGGCACAGAGTGGTCTTGAATCCTTGAGTCAGCTGTGAATACCTCATGATAATACTTGTTAAAGTTTTTGACGTAAGATTTGAAGGCACAGGTAAACATCATGAGATCTCAACTTCTCTGATACCGAAACGTCACTATACATTTCATCAGCTTTGCACGGCGTTAATTCAAAATAAGTTTCATCTGTCGGTCATTAAATGGGAATACAGCCAGCTGGGAATAAAACAGTAAATTAAATATTCAGTCAACTTGTTCTAACCCAATTGGACTATACAGGTGAATAATATAATCCTTTTTCTTTTTCAAGAACTTTCAAATTTCTTTAAATCCAATTAAAGTGAATGGTTTTGTCTACAAGGTTACATTTAAAGGTGCAGTAACAGAACAACGAGACGAGAACAATGAGTGGCACCTGACAAAACCTTTTGTTTTTACATGTCAGACAATATATTGTTATCTCATGTCCTCTACAACTGTTTCCTGAAGCTTTGTGAAGGCTACATGTAAAGCAGAAGGCTTGAATCCAGCCGAGCCAATGAGGGAACTTGTCATCGTACTCTTTGACCAACTCGGGGCAACTCAGCATGCCCCTAATTTTGGAAATGTATGAAACACTTTTGGCCTAAATATTATTTTAAAAAGGGATGAGCTATAAAATGCATTCCCAGTACAGTTTTTACCAGAACAGAAATTAGCTTTTCTGAACAAAACTTTTTTTTTTTAACCAGCCAGTAAACATGTTTATATCTGCAGTAAAAATTGACAGTTTAACATGGGACCTACGGGGGATTCTTTGGCTTTTGCAGCCAGAATCAAGTGGATGATCGAGACAGCAGCATGTGCTTTAGTTTTTAACAAAGGAGGTTGACCCTTGAATGTGACAAAAAGAGAGTGTGGATCTCTGCCATCAATGGCCACAGATCCATTCAGTTTGGTGTATCATCAAGTAACCACTGAATCTCGAGACAACCCTTTAATCATTTGTGTTTGCACTCAGACTCTGATCAAACAGCACAGTTTCAGAATTCTGCTCTGATCTTTGGTGTTACTGCCGTGTTAGGCAGAAAAGATTACATTTCTTGAACGACAGCGAGCATGGGAAAAAAGTTAGGTGGGGATACTGGCCTTATGAGAAGTTGTGAGTCAGCTTTCTTCCAGAGAAGACTAAAAACAGAAAGTTCAGGAGCTCTCCTACAAAACTGTGCAGGGCTTCTTGTCCTTGAAAGGGTTTTCTGAAGCAGGGACGCCCATCAGAAGCGGGTCATACTTGGCATGTTCTCCACAATATCGCATCAGGTCCGATGAAGCTTTGGACACCTGCAAGATATCAGACACACACACACACACACACACACACACACACACACACACACACACACACACACACACACACACACACACACACACACACACACACACACACACACACACACACACACACACACACACACACACACACACACACATTGATCTACCTTGACAAACACGTAGTAGAATTGGGCTGCTGTGGATGACTATGAATATAAAGGCACCTTTATCCTCTCGATGCTGGCCTCTATCCTCAGCTGCTGCACCGTCCGCCTGGCCAGAGCTGTGCTGCTGGAGCTTTGCATTTTTGATGACATTTCAATCACTGGACAGCTGTGCTCACACCTGGAATAGAGAAACCACTATTTTATTGTATTGTACCACCATGTTATTGACTGGAGATGCAGTTTGTATTTGCACAAAGGTGAGGCTAATGCTTTAATGACCATTTTGGCTGTCATTACCTACAAAAAGTCAACAATATCATTTTCCGTGCATGTTGTTAATTTTAGAACTAGCCTGAATATTTTTGCAATTAATCCCTTTTGAAATATTAGTACCTGTTCTGGCCAAATACATACAGAACATACTAAGGGGCATACAGCTTTTAAGAGATGAGTAATTACTGAAAAATATTTTGAAGTTAAAAGTTTATGAGAGAAGAGATTATAGGCAAATTGGAAACTTAAAACGTGAAGCTTTATTAATTATTGTCATGAGGAATAAATAAAAGTCTTCTTGAGGTCAAAGGAAGACCATTCTTTTTGTGTTATACGGAGCAAGAGCAAAATTGTGTTTCATGCAATAAAACTTAAAGACCATTACAATAACTAAAACTGCTTTATACTGCTTTATACAAAATTGTATCATCGTCAAAAGGGCCCAGGGATTGATCCCTGAGGAACACCATTGTTTACGGAAAGGAGGTTTGATTAGGCACCTACAGCTGCAACAACATCTCTATAAAGTCTGCTTAAAACCAATAAGGTGGGAATTTATATAATACCAAGCGGTATTACGGTGCAGTGTAGTGGCCAAATAATACAGCAATCATTAATGACAAGTTTTTTAGAGAAGCTGTTGAGATCGCTGGCATCAACACCCTTATGCAGTAGTAGAATAACAGTTTTACAAGTAGTGATCACATGTATAACTCAAACTTCAAACTATAAAGTCTAGAGCCATGCTAAAAAATTTGGACCTTCGACAAATCCAACTTTTGATTTGATATCATGCTTGATGAAAGGCAGAGCATCACCACTCTCATCATCCTGTGGAGGAAATTAATTTCTTCCCCAAAGTTTGTCCCAAGTTACTTTGTATATGTTATGAAAAGAAAACCATGGCCAACTATTTGAATTTGTTTTTTGAATGTAGACAAATTGTCATTACCATGCCCTGAACCCTGCATATGCTGCATACAAACTAAGAAGAAGAAAACATTGATCAAAGCTGCATCTCTGCAGGACTAAGTTCAATGAAAAGGCAGTTTTGCACACTTTTGCAGGCACAACAAGAAGTGGTGTAACTAAGAGAGTTCTGCATAAATTACTGATGTCAATGACTTCACAATTTCCCAGAAGTGACAGTTGACCTTATCTGGAATTGGCTCGATGTGCGTAAAAGCTGTGGCCCAACCTAACGGACTCGTCTTTCACAATTCCTATTTCCAGAACACAATGGTTTCCTTTTACCGTCACAGTACGTCACTCCCTGAACCACTTGAGAGGTGCAGACTTGTAGCTTGTTCAGTGTGCAAACATAATTTCTTAGAATAATTAAGAACAGGAACAACTTATAATGTGAGAAGAACACCATGTAGTGAATTCAAAGTAGAGCACTGTGCTTATGCTGTAAAGCAATAACTCAGAGTTTCTCTGTGTTCCCAACAATTGTTCTGCAATGACAACATGCAGTTCTTGTTCCTTCAACAAAGTATCCCTGTGGGATTGCCAAAAATAATCTTTGACATGTGGTCTGGTTAATGTTTGCTCTGTGCTTCAGTGCAGGATATTACAGAGGAGGGGGACACGCTGAAACGGAAGGGAGATGAAACATGGACTACGTAACCAACTACAGAAGGGGGACAGGACCATGCATCCCTTTAATCCCCTCGCCCACTCCCTTCCGCTTCCTCCACAGGAAGCAGTATCCCCACTTACCCTCTGCAGTATAAATGATCAAATATGGGGTGGAGGGTTTAAAAATAAATGCTGCGCACTTGCTGAAGCTTTCCTAAAGACAGCATGAAATTAAAACATAATTTGCAACATTTCTGCTCTCGGACAAGTTAGCCTAAACAACTGTTATTGTTTTGTTGCTTTCTCGACCGGTGTACTCATTGTTCCAGAGAACTTAATACTTGTGGCTCTCTTGTCAAACACAGCTGTAGCTTTTAAAACCCTCAGCTGCACCAGCCAGGCATGAGTGGACACAGGAGAAGGGAGAGCTGCGTCAGATGGGGGGCTCACCCTCACCCTTCAACGTCTGCAGAGAGGCTTTGTGACGCCAGCGGCTAGCATGGAGCTCTTTAGATTTGAAAGGAGGCACTAGAATCATAATAGAAAGTAAAAAGACGTTAACAAGGCAAAGTGTTTTCTGTTTCTTGCACCATTGTTCTATGTTTTGAAAGAGGCCCTTAGGCTAGTAACATACACTGCAAACACTTGATAGTAGCTGTGCACACTTCAATATTATGTTTTGAAAGTACAACACTGCAAAGTCATGATTTTTAAGACGTAAACCTAAAGATACATTTTATTTAATTCTATCACCCAATTAGTGAATGCACCTTCAGAGACTTTAAATCAACTTCTACTTCACGCTTTTTGTTTACACACTATTGAGTTTTGCATTTAGCTCTAGAACCAAAACTTGAAATGCAATTCAATGCAAACAAAGTATTTTACAGTCATCTAGACCTTGTCAAACTTTATAGAGAGATAGAGATAGAGTCAGTAGCTTTTCCCTTAAAAAAATCAAATATAGACTTATGGAAAAGTAATGCGGCTCAAGCATCACTTAGGGGCCTCCATACATGTGTGGTGGTGTGTGCCTGCAGAGACTCTGGCCTCTGCAAGTATTTTGATGTTTTGGTTGACTCGGGATGTTTCTTAGCGGGGAGGTGATATGTTTCCCCCAGCCAATGAATGAGCACAGGTAGGTTTGGGTGTGGATACAATTTAGCAATTGGACGACATTCAAATCGGCGAATATTGCGAACATAGCTGTAGCGGCAAAGAAGAAAATATATGATCATAGTGAGGCTAAATGCCATGTCGTTCCGAAACGAGGCTTTCACTTGTGGATGCAGAGCTGGCCTGCTTTCTGTTCAATAGGCAGGTGCTAAACATCGGCAAGTAGTGCTAGCTTGCTAAATTATCAGCTTTATCATTACAACAAATTTAAAGGGATACTTCACTGGTTTAAACATGAATCTGCATTGACATTGGGTCATATATGTAGTAGAAATGTAAAATACATTTTGAAGTTGGTGCCTTGACCGAGAAAAGGGCAGAAAATGTATTTTTGGCTCATGTGGATGAAAGACAACAACTCCCAGAATGCACAGCACAGCAGGCCACTCCCACTGAAGCTAGGGTGCGCTATTTAAAGACATTTACTACAACACATTTAGGAGGGGCCTAAATAGAATGTTGTGTTACTGTTTACAAGCTGCAACAAACATTGCTACTGACTATACCTTTAAGTTAGATGATGAAAGTTGGAGTGATAGGAATCCTTTTGGCTCTGTGCAACTATAGCCTATTAATATTGATTCATGGTATGTACGTGTAAATGTTCATGTTGCAACTTTGAGCTTTACAGAGAAGTAACAGAGTGGATCCAAAGAAAAAGAGCAGTCACAGCATATTCCATCGTAGAATTAGGGACAGTGCAGACTCTTTCCCTCAGCCCACAGGTGCCAGATGTGGCCTGCCAGCTGCAGTAGTCGGTCTAGCAGAGGTGAACGAGTTTAGAACACACACTTCATCATCAGGATTGGTTTATCTGCCTGCTGTGGGCCGCTGTGGGCACACACAGGCTCTGCTGTGCAGCTCTTCTCAGGGAGCGGTCTGATCCAGTGAGGTCTCAAGCCTCAACTGGGCTGAGTTTAAAGTAGACCCTGTTCCTGAGCCATGAGGTGGACAGTTTTACTGTAACCCTGCTGCTCCAGAGGAATTAAAACATTCTTACAGACTTTATTTAAGGGTCTCATCAATGTGACTTCTTTTATGCGGCTGAGCCTGTTTATTGTTCTGTACAAACAGTCACTTCTAGTCTTTGACGTAAAGGAAAATCTCCTTATGCATTCTAGGAAAATGTTACAAATTAAAGGAACGTTTTAAATTTGGTGATATTTACATTTATTTGTTTTTCAGTCTTTATTTGGATCCTCATTAGCTTGGTTACTGGTCTTTCTGGGGCCCACATTAAACCAATAGCAGAACTAAAACAAGAAAAGGCAAAACCAAAAGAAGCTAACTCAAATAATTAAAACAGGAATAAGTGTATCTTCTTTTAGGATTTTACCATCATAGTCTTTCTGATGTTGTCGGGGAGTATATTTCAGTCATAAAAGGCTTAATACATTTTGTTTGTAGTATCTGCAGAACAACATTAGGGTTTTACAACATTGCCTTTGTGCGAAAAACACCATAAAACAATTCTCCATAAATTCTATGGTGCAGGGTTTTCACCCCTTTAAAAAAATACGAGAGCTCGTTCAAGGTCTTCACGATGGTTTTGATATTATTGATGATGATGATGGTCATGACGATGGTTTTGTTTGATAACTACGACTTTTAAGATGGATTCTATCCTGATTAGAGCTCTCAAGAACAATGTTGTGCTTTGCCTCTGTGCACTTCCTGTCAGCACCTGTGTGTCCAATTGGACTCAAAGCTGATCGTTTGCTCTTACTGACATTGTTTCCTTTTTCTAGATCCTTGCTTGTGTTGTACTTACTCTCTGATGTTCGTCGCTTTCTACAAAAGTGAACTGTAGAATTGTAGAATTCATGTGAAAGGAGCACAAAGGGGAGGGGCCAGATTCTCTGGGTAAAGGGCCCAAAATGTTGTTGTACGTCCCTGTCAGTATGTAAATAGTGTTTTGACTTATTATTATAAAAGGGGTCACATGAGTCTGGGACTGTCCTTGGCTCAACATCCTCACACAAGGGCACATTTTTTTCATAATCTGCAGAGACGGTCTGGAGCCATCATGCAGGACTAGGATGACCTTCAGGAAGGAAGCTGCGTTACAGACGGTGAAACCGGAATCGCTTTTTTTTTAGAGTCTCGACTTCACTAAGCTGGAAAACGAGCTGACCTCTGCCCTCCCAG